CACACTGTCCCCCGTTGTACAGCACATCACCACAACATCGCTCTCATCATCCTCATCAACCACAGCGACAGCAACCCAGCCTCGGATCTCCCCCATCGCCTTTCATCCGGCGCCTCCCACTCAATCACTTCACTTCCCCTCCATTCCCATATTTCTTTCATCCTTTCTCGCCTTTCTTCCCGTCGTTGATCCGCATCCTCGCACCGCCGGTTCCTCTGCGGTACCACCCGTACCACATTGCAAACTAGGTATACCCCCACTCGCCACGGGTCACATTCACCACAGCGCCTCTTACAATGAACACTGCCGCCACTAGTACTTTTATCCCCTTTTCTCCGTTTTTTTAATACTTACATGCCCATCACCCCCCACTTGGAATCACCCCCACCTCCCCCATCATCACTCGCCCTCTTGCTCCTCGTCAACTCCAAATCCCTCACTGTCCACCCCACACACACCCCAATCTAAAACCTGCCAAGCCCCATTACATACCCAGCGCTAATCCCAAGCACCCCCGCTGGGCTCCCTCACTCACTTCCGTCATACCATTCCCACCGCTGCCGCACGTACAAGTGCCCTCGCTACTTTACTCACAGCGCCCGACTCTGTGCTCCCACTACCACTTTAGGTATGATTTGCAAGTCACCATAGCCCGGTCCCTCCACCTCAATCTGCACGAGAAACCATATATTCAAAATCTCTCAGACTTCAGTCACAGAAAGCATATTGCCAACGATCTGGTTCGAGATAATAGCATCAATGTGAGTCGTATCATAACATAACAGTACTATTTGTTTCCCCTCAGCTCATGATGTCACACCCTGCTCACCTACTGCCCAATAACACACGTCATTTTAGCTGTCGCTTGATCTCGTCGTCGTCAGTTCACACAATAATCGTAGGGCACAGGCTGACAGCCTTTTCGTTATACACTGCAGAAATAAAATTCAAAGGTAAAGACGAACTATGAATGCACAACTAATTATCACATAGCGCAGCCTATTCTCGCTACGATGACAGAAAGAAAATTACAGCAAGATAATGGTAAAGGCGAACTATAAATGTACAAGTATATAGTCACCCATCACAGCGGATTAACCTTAACAACGCCATTACACGTCACTTCTTCCTTACAATAAGTACATGTGTCGGAAAAATCCAATTCACCTGATCAGGACTGCTGGAGCATGCTGCGAGTACGGTGTCGCCTGACGACCTTATGAGGGAGCTGGAGTATCAGGTAAGGTATGAGCGGGCCCTATAAAATCATAGTGCAAATGAAAAGCCTATCATCATGTCTTATGAGACCTTACAAGGGGAATAGAGGACGTGATAAGATGTGATCAAGCTCTATAAAATCGCAGCGAAAAATGAAAAGGCGTCATCACACCTTGTTTAAGAACTAAGAAGTCCTCGAAGGCTATTCAGGGCTCTGTGAGGCCAAATCAATGGTCCATAATTCGAACGACGTTAGGTTGGATCAATCTTAGTGCCAGAGATACAAGATTCATTAGTACAGTTAGATAATACAGTAGGAATCACTTTGAAAAGCGTAGAAACATGTCGCCGTCTACGGTATCGTTGAGATAAAAGCGACCCTCCCTCATTCCAAACGCTGTAATCATATGTGCCCCACGAATAAAATATTTCACCAGTGCGAACCTGCTTTCCCTTGCCTCCTCATAAAGACGAGCACCAGCCCATTTTGTCCTTGGTTTTGTAGTGGAGGGCTTGAAGTAATTGACGAGGACGACATCATATGTTTTGGACTTGATATAACACCTGTAAATCCCTATAAGTCGAGCCGGTGTGGGTTTAACAGTGTCCGTGTTGATGAGTATGCAATCGTGGCGGGGCACTCCATTGAATCGAGGGTTACACCTGAGGATATCTCGCCCTTCGGTCCAGTCTTCTTGCGACTGGTACCGAAGATAGACGCAATGATATTGTCGGATCTATTGTATGGCGTACTAAGATCAATGAGACCAAAAAACAACATAAATA